ACCGCGCAACCGCGATCCACGGCACACCTTCACATGTGAGCGGCGGCCATCTTGGATCTCGCGGCTCGCTCGGCGGATCGGGAACTCACCCGACCGCCGGGCTCCACAAGTGTATGCTCTCCCAAGTGAACAATGGGAGAGTGCAAGCTGGATTTCAGTTTTTTCTCCATGTATTCTTTCGATGTATTTTGCCACAGTGCCTGCCAACAGTGTCTGCCAAACAAATACTTACATGCAGGCATTAAAGGAGATTATGTCTTTGTACCTTACTCAGGGTCTATACCCTATACAGGGTCATACCATATTACTATACCCTGCACAGGGTCATACTATATTACTATACCCTACAGGAATCACCCGATCACCGCGCCCTGCATCTGGATTAACCCCTTCAGGGGTCCCCCTCTCTGGGCACATTCATTTATTGATACAATTATTATTTTTTATTCTCATGGATATATCTCTCATGGTGCCTTACACTGGATGATTATATGTTGAGCAGGCACACAATCTATGTATTATTGTGAAGCCATACAATATCACAGTCGTTATACAAAACATATACTGTACCTATAACAAGATCAACTATATCACTGTACCCTACAAAGGGCATATTGTGTTACTGTACCCTACAAAGGGCATATTATATTATATTATTGTACCCTACAGAGGGTCATATTATATTACTGTACCTGACGGTGCAAATTTATGTGGGTGTCCTCTGGGTATTTTTTCATGGCACACCACCTGGGGTGACCCCCCAGATATGCATGCAAGGTCACTGACAGACCATTACCTTTGATGTGGGTGTCCTCTGGGTTACCATGGCACACCACCCGGGGTGAACCCCGATCATATGCACGGAGGCCTACGCCTCAACTTTACCACTGATTACTACAGACATATATGGATGTTTAACCCCTTAAGGACCAAACTTTTGGAATAAAAGGGAATCATGACATGTCACACATGTCATGTGTCCTTAAGGGGTTAAACACTGCCTGTCAGTTTTACATTAAAGCAACAGTACCATGCCGGATGCGATTTGACGGCAGGATCACTAAGAAAACTGAGTGTATTGCGGTGTACCCTTCACAGGGATACATATATGTATATTTACTGTGCCTAGTGTACATATTGAACGTGGGTGCCCTCTGGGTAATTTTTCATGGCACACCACCTGGGATGACCCCCAGATATGCATGCAATGCTTGTAAGGTGCCAATAATTATAATATGGGTGTCCTCTGGGTTACCATGGCACACCACCTGGGATGAACCCAGCCTAATAGACATGGGTCCTGCGGCTGCAGACCTTATGGAGACAGGCCCCATGCGCCTATATAATAAGCCTGTATAGTTAAAAACCGTGCATACAGCTCTGGCGTACATTTGTGGTGAACCCGGCTAGCCAGACCGACACCACTACCAGTCAGTCGCGCCTGCACCACGGCTCTCAGTAGCCAGATTAAACTAGTAGAGGTGACCCCTCTACACTTGGCACGAGTATTCATACTCTCAGACATACTAAAGCAGGCAATTCAAACCGTTTTACCTGGGTGATCCCCAGTTCTACCAGGAGTCTAACACCCCTACGTGCTGACCCTCACACTATCTCCCAACAGGACGGGAACGAGTCATGGTGGACACTCTCAACGTTCCCAAGATTTCTAGGCAATGATAAACGCCACAGTAACGGCCTCAGTGGAGAAGGTTCTGTTATGAACTCTACCCCACACCGCTTGATGGAGACCTCAGGCCCACAAGCCTTCAAGTCAAAACGGCAAGGGAAGGGCTCCAGCCCCCCTGCCACTAAGGTCAAGGGCAAGACGCCCATCGAACAGACCAAATAGGCGGAGCACCGGGAATCCAAACCCCGTCCGCCACAATCTTCCGACAAAGAAGACTATTACCCACCACGTACTTTGGACATGGTAGATGAGCGACACGAAGACAGCTCACCGTCTGAGGAAATGGAACGGCAAGACCTTCCCCACACTTCCTCGAAGTACTTTAGGGAAACCTTACTCTGTGACGGCGGCTGAGGCAGAGATAACTGTAGCGGCACAAAACCAGAGTAGCCGAAGACGGAACGTTCCTGGACGAACACTATTGGCTGCGTAACCCTCGGGGGATGGAAGGATGCGCACGCCTCAAGACCGAGTTACCCCAGGGTACACAACTCAACCCTACCACCTCCAAAGAATGGTCTCAATGCTCGATATGCCTCCTGGGCAACGTAAATGAGGCACTATGCGCCGACAGACGCAAATCTGTACTGGGCCGCATCGACAACACACTATTGGACTTAGGAACGACAAGAATTCGGCCCAAAAGCACAAGACCTACTATTCGACGTAGTGTTCATTGCAGTACTCAAGAAACACGTGAATTTATTCACCACACTAAATTAAACCCAGACCTCGCTAAAACAAGTCTTCCACAACCCTACGGGGAAAGGTGTTTCTGGGAGGACTGGTCGGTAGCTGAACCGAGCCACCAGCCGCTTCTGGGCGACAGGTTCCAGATCGTATACACAGTCCTCATATTTCTCCCATCTACTACACAAAGGAACCCATCCGCTTCATCTACTAGTGTTTCAACCTACATAAATAACTGTTTCCAATATTATGACCGGCAACCTGTCTCTGTTTTACAGAATTGGGAGACGACTACCAAAGTCACCTGGGTTCTCCAGACAGTACAAGGCTATGTCATAGAGTTTTATCACAGCCGGGCAGGTCGCCCCTTCACCTCCATTACGCCGCTGGAGGAACAGGAATGCATCGTGGACAAGAAAATCTGCACCCTCTTCAGGAGGGGCGCAATTCAACATGCACCGGAGGGGAAGGCTTCCCCAGCAAAATTTTTCCTGGTCAAGAAGAAGCCAGGAGACTACATCAATGGAACTCCTACATGGTATACAAATGCTGCAAGATGGAGGGAATTCATCTTCTACAAGACCTCCTAGGCGATAACGACTGGTTTACACATCTGGACCTCAAGGACGCACGCATGTCAGTACCCGTTGCCCTGGACTGCCGAAGTTTTCCTCCAATTCCAATGGTGAGGACAAACATGGCAGTTTACGACTCCGTGGTGCTCGCGAACCTACTGTAACCAGTGAGGGCACACATCCGTAAATTTGGGCGTGCGATGCCTCGTATACCTGGAAGACTTGCTGATTCTTTACGAATCCAGGCTACGTTTGCAGACAAATTTGTCGTTCACTTTCGGGACTCCATGGGTTTTTTGTTGTACACGGACAAAGATCGCTTCTCCATCTGAATCAGGCCAGTTCCTCGGTTTTGACATCGGCTTGGAGAACTACGTTCCGCGTCCGTCCGGCAAAGAGCGCCTCTATAAGGATAGCTGTCGGATTGTGGGATTCCTCTCCTCCTCTCCTCCTCCATACAAGCGTTATTCCCTGGCCCACTACGACTGATGGTGAGATACTCATACAACCACTGGATCCCACTGTCAGCGGAAGTGAGGATGGAATTTCGATGGTGATTACTTTACATACAAACTTGGATTGGCAAAACGATCTTTGACTCTTCCTTCGGATACGGGGTGATGGATGAACCCCTGCAAACGTGACCCAGCCGTTCTCCACAATAGCAAGGGTGCTTCGATACACACACACACCCACAATATATCGCTCCTGCTCATGACACCCCTCGGGCAGGGCCAACCGTGATTTCCCGGATCGCCTGGAGATGTCTCGCGAAGACCCTCCACTACTCCCTACCTTCCCTCTACTTCTGACGGGACCTCGAAGGGGAGCCCACTCCCTTGTCATGGAAGGACAACTGGCACTAGTTGCCTGGACGGTTTCAGGGGCTCCTGGTCAGTTCACGACCTACTGCATCAACTAAGACCTCCTATGGGAACTCATAGTCTCCCGGCACCAGAAAAGGCTATATTTCTGCCTGGTCGGCCTGGAGTGATTGGTGTGTGGAAAGGGATTCCGATCCCTTTACCGCACCTGTCCCACTGATCCTCAACTATCTGTCACACCTGGTCTCGTTGGGTCGGTCATATCGATCCCTCAACGTGATCAGATCCGCCATATCGGCAGCGCACGTTCCGGTACAGGGCAGACTAGTAGGTCAAGATACACTGGTTTGTCGACTACTGCGGGGTTCCGAATTGTCGAGATCCCTGCACCCAAATATTCACGCCTCTGGCAGGTGGATGTGGTGCTGAGATTCCTTAGGGAATGGCCGGACAATCCTTATTTGTCACTGAATCAACTTTCAGCCAAACTAGCCCTCTTATTATGCCTCGCCTCATTTAGACGGTGGCGGACCTTAGGGCTTGCGATATGGATGGTTTCTCTCTCACACCAGACGGGGTTACCTTTACCATGTCAAGACGAACTAAGTCTGATTCGTCTTCAGTGTCATACCCATGCTTTGTGTCAGACGCCACACTATGCGTGGTCAGAACGCTAATGGGGTACACCAATATCTCTACCCCTTCGAATTCATTCGACGGATCACCTTCTGACTTCTTACGTGAACCCTCATGGACCGGTGTCTACCGCAACACTGGCCAGATGGGTCCGCTGGTTTTTGTCTTTAGCGTTGAACCTTGTTTCGGAGCCCACTCGGTCAGGGGAGCGGCGGCCTCACAAACCTTTTCGGCCGACGCTTCCCTAGCCAACATTATACGCTGCGCGGACTGAGCGCGAGAGAGTACGTTTAGAACGTTCTATTTTCGGCAAACATCTCATGCTTCCTTCACATTGGTCAATTCAAAGTATTAAAAATGCAAATATGAAGCCTCCTGTCATGTGGTAAAATTGAAGATTATATTAGCTTTAGTGTACTAATAATCTTAATTTTAGTAATGACAGGAGGCGAATATTTCCACCCTATAGGATCCCTCCCATGTTTCTCGTGCTGAACAGAATATGTCCTTTATGTTCAGGAAGGTAAATACGTATGGTTTGTATGTTTGCTACTTAGACCTGTATCTTGTGGGTTTTGTATTGGCTATATATTAGACATGAACCTTGCATTATGTTGTGTTTATAGATTCTTAAATATCATTGCGTTAGAATAAATATATATTGATATGTTTCACATTCTAATGTTCGTTGGTATATCAGATGCTTAATGCTTATTGTATGCGGACAAGTTATCACGCCAGATACCTTTCACCTTTTTCTTTTTCTTGCAGCGTGAACGTCTTCTCATCGAGACAAAGATTCACCTTCCATACCTCTGCATCGCGGAACTAATGGAGTTGGATATTCTAATATGTTGTTGAACTGTTGACGTAATATGATTATGTCTCTTGTTGTTATTTATTGTTTCGCTTCAAAGAAAGAGGAAGTGATGTCATAGACAGGGCCTTTTATGGGCATCATAACTTTTTTCTGATTGGTTGTTATGTTTCTATGCTGCTGGAGTTTTCAGTAAAGAAAGATATGCAAATATTCGCCCCCCCCCCCCCACACATATCTAGGCAAAGTTGGTGCATTTTTCCTACTCTTTTTTTTGTTGTTGCAGTTAGCTTTTTATCTCAACCCAGCTCACTGCTTATTAAATAGGGCCCCTACATGTTGCTAGATTATATTTTAAAACCCTAAGCATATCTCTAATAATTTTGTAACAGATTTACAGCAGATGTGAATGGAAAAACTACTGTTCAATTCAGTATATAACTTATAATAGAATTCAGACCCTGGCTGCAAAATCTACAACAAAATGATGGAGTTGGGAAACAGTCAAGTTGTAATCTTGAACAAAATTTTCCAGTTTGATTGTCAGCTCATCACAACTTACATTTATTAAACTGACATATATAGTAAATTTAGAACCTGCTTAGGAGTCTAATATCATTTTTAGAACCAAAATTGCTCCACCAGAAGGCATCTTACCCTACAGTTGGAATGTTCTACTGTGCTCATACTTTGTATAGGGAACATGAAGAATGTATGGGGTATTCTCTTTGTGACTCAGTGACTCATCCTGCTCCAGTGTGCGCACATATCCCAGTGCTCACTCTTTCTGTAGGGAATGAGAAATATTTAACCCCTTTAGACCGGACAATTACGCCCTATTTTAGGCGGCTCTAAACGTTGCCGGGTGTAATTGTACACCCTCTCCGGTTTTTGTTAACTTACCCGGTCGCCGGCGGTCCCTCGCCGGCGGTCCCACGCGGGCGATCGCGGTGGGGGGGACTCCCAGGGAGCCCCCCCGCGGCAGATCATTCTCCTCCAGTGACCCCCGCCATGTGAGAGTGGGGTCCTAGCGAGGACCCCACAATCACATGGCCGGGTAGGCTGCCTCCTGCATTGCCAGCAGGGGGGCTGCCTGTAATGACAGGTGGTTCCCCTGCTGGCTGAAAATAAAAATAAAATAAAATTTATTAGTGTAAAAAAAAAATATATATATACTTAGATCATATATATATATATTATATATATATATGATCTAAGTATATATATATACACATATACATACACACACATACACAGTCTAGGTGTATTTTACTATTAATATATATATATAATTATATATATATATATATATATATTAATATCAAATTACACGTAGACTGATACTGATTAAATATATATATATATAATTATTGTTATATATATATTATATATAATATAAAAAAATTAAATATGTAAATACATTAAAAAATAAAATTAAAAAAATAATTTAAAAAATTTATTAAAAAATATATAGATGTGTGTTATTTCATTCTAACTGTATTGTGATATTAATATATATATATTTATATCAAAATACACGTAGAGCGAAATAATATATATATCTACATACATAAATATATACGTATATATCACTATATATATATACCTATATATAAATAAAAATATTTTTTAAAAATTATATAGATATACACATATAGATTCACATACGTATATATATACATATACTAATTCTACATATATATTTATGTAATACTTTTACATAATTAGGTATCTTAATTAGTTACAATTAGCGGGACCTGCCTGACAACCCATGCCGAAAGTAAAGGGAATTTAATTTGCTAGCACTATATTTAACCCTATAACTTTCCAAGACACCATAAAACCTGTACATGGGGGGTACTGTTCTACTCGGGAGACTTCGCTGAACACAAATATTAGTGTTTCAAAACAGTAAAATGTATTACAACGATGATATCGCCAGTAAAAGTGAAGTTTTTTGCATTTTTCATGCACAAACAGCACTTACACGGATGATATTATTGCTGTGATACTTTTTACTGTTTTGAAACACAAATATTTGTGTTCAGCGAAGTCTCCCGAGTACAACAGTACCCCTCATGTACAGGTTTTATGGTGTTTTCAAAAGTTACAGCGTCAAATATAAGGCTTGCGTTTCATTTTTTTCACATTAAAATTTGCCAGATTGGTTACGGTGCCTTTGAGACCCTATGGTAGCCCGAGAATGAAAATTACCCCTATGATGGCATACCATTTGCAATAGTAGACAACCCAAGGTATTGCAAACGGGGTATGTCCAGTCTTTTTTAGTAGCCACTTAGTCACAAACACTGGCCAAAATTGGCGTTTTTTGCATTTTTCACACAAACAAATACTAACGCTAACTTTGGCCAGTGTTTGTGACCAAATGGCTACTAAAAAAGACTGGACATACCCCATTTGCAATACCTTGGGTTGTCTACTATTGCAAATGGTATGCCATTATGGGTGTAAATTTCATTCCTGGGCTACTATAAAGTCCCAAAGGCAACGTAACCAATCTGGCGAATTTCAATTTCAAATGTAATGTGCTATATTTGACCCTGTAACTTCCCAAAACGCCATAAAACCTGTACATAGGGGTACTGTTTTACACGTGAGACTTTGCTGAATACAAATATGTGTATTTTAATGCAGTAAAAGCAAACAGTATTATGACATTGACAGTTAAAATGTCATGTAGAACTAAAAAAATTTAAAAAATCTTATTTTCTCCCATTTTTTTCATATTAAATTATGTTTCATAGCTAAATATTTGATATTAAATGAAAGCCCTGTTTCCCCTGAATAAAATTATATATAATAAGGGTGGGTGCATTTACTATGAAATAGGTGAATTACGGTTGGACAGACATGTAGCGCAAATGCCAGGTTTTGTTTACATTTTGTTTAACAACGTGTACATTTGGCTCTGTCCTTAAGGGGTTAATGGACAGTTCTAGTTATGGTTTCTTAAATAGAAATATAAAACAAAAGATAGTCATAACATGTTTTCATAAAGTGTGCAGTAGTTTTTGTTTTGATAGATATAGAAGGTTTTTTTTTATTACTCTTTTTGTGCTTCTTTATTTTATTTCTGCTGCAGAAATAGTACACTATGTTTTTAACTTCTGATTAAAGGAACACACATTACTTACACAGGGTCTACTGGGAGCAACTCCACAGTCGTAGGATGTCCTTATTAATTAATTAAAGATATATGGATGCACCCTCCACAAGGGGTCAAAAAAATTGAGAATATTTGGCTGCACATGTCAACAACAAACTAGATGCTGACACAGCTATGTACTTGGAATGGGAATTGAGATTTGATGAGTTGCAGGGAACCCTTAAAACATCAAAGACTGGTAGAGTTCCCATCACAATACTACAAAAAAATTCAGAGGCACCTTGTTCCTCCAGCTCCTCACCTTGTTTAATTCACATAGAGGGAAAAGATCCTTACCAATGTTCTAGCTATCAACCCATCTCTTTGCAGAATTGCAATATTAAACTGTTTACTAAAATTCTGGCGTCACGCATGTAAGAAGTACTTTGGACTTGGTATATGCTGATCAAAGCAGGTTTGTCCCTGGAACAGAGGCGAGGGACAAAAACATCCATCTACTTAACATCCTACACCTGGCTAAGGAATCACGCCATGCCCTAGTTCTCCTTTCCACAGATGCAGAGAAAGCATTTGACTGGATGGACTGGCAATTCACTTTACTCACCTTACAAAGGGATTCGGCAAGTTGTTTTGCAAGTGGATTCTGACACTGTACTCCACTTCAACAGGGACGGTGCACAACAAAGGGGGTCTTAAGTCCTTCATACAGATAGCAAATGGGACCCGCCAGGGATACCCGCTCTCGCCACTCCTCTTCGTGCTGACCTTGGCACCTTTCCTGGAGGCCATCAGACACAACCAATCACAGGATTTATGTATGCAGGGATCGAACATAAGGTCTTGGCCTACGCTGATGATAATTCTATGTGGAACAGCCGTTGACTTCCTTCCCTAATATTCTTTGAGAGTTCCAGGAATACGGTGAACTGAGCAATTTCAAGCTCAACCTAGATAAATCGGAAGCGTTGAACATCCGGGTCCGGAATCTGGAAGTCCTGATCTTGAATTACCACTTCCATTGATGCAAGGATCAGCTGAAGTACCACGGGACTTGCAATTGTTGAATTTAACTTCCAACCACTACTTAACCACCTCCAAGCAGACATGAAGACATGGCTAGAACCCTACTTCTCCTGGACCAGGCGAATCAACTCAAGGATCCACAGGATCCTCTACCATTTTCATAACTTACCCCTGACCCTGCCAGTCACTTTCTTCAAATCTCTAAGCATGGCTGTGGTGCATTACATCCGGAGGGGCCAGGGAAACAGACTTCGCATGTCGCAACTTAGGAGATCTAAATTTGAAGGGGGGCTGGGATTACCCTCATTTCAAGCGTACTATAGAGCTACTCATTTGACCAGAGTAATGGAGAGTCATAAGAAAGAAACCAGGAAGATCTGGTGCAGCCTTGAATGTGAGATGGCGGTGGTCACAGTGTGGCTGTCCAAGGGGGGACAGGGTCCTTGATGTGGGAGCAGCCATTCATAGGTGCCACACTGAAGGCGTGGTATCCAATTAGGTACATACTTTCACTCACAACTCCAGTGGGCCCAATGTTCCAGCCATGCAAATCACAGACAAACAAACAAAAATATTCTTAACCACTGGTATCATACACCACAGATGCTCCACAATCTTTCCCAGGCATACCTGATATCTGCTGGAGGTACGCAAATAGACCTGTGCAAACATTTCAAGCAAAGAACGCAAATCCTTAAATGGCCTTTCTATCACTATTTGCCCCGCGGGTAAAGGGGGAGCTATAGTGATTATGCAATATATGGATTATAAAGATGAAATACTGCATCAATTGGCAGACACATCCACATATCAATTCTTATCTAAGGATCCAACTATGGAATACAGCAAAATCATAGCCAACACACTCCAGAAGGGCTTAACCGATGGTCATCTTTCTCTCCAGGAGGTACTTACTAGAGACTCACCCAAGATTTCCCATCTTATACACACTGCCTAAAGTTAACAAGGACGCGGTATACCCTCCTGGCCACTCTATTGTTTCTGCCAAGGGGGGCCTCCTAGAACCAATTGGCAAATGGCTTGACTACAAATTTAAAACACCAGTGAGGTCCTTGCCTACTTGTGTTAAAACTTTGCTATGGTGATTGTGGAACTCCAGAAGCTTACTGTCCCTCCATCAGGAATTATCCTGGCTGCAATTGACATCAGCAGTTTATATACAATTATTTCTCATCCTGAAGGAATCCAAGCAATGAGGGAAGTGCTGAATGAATCATCAGGACCCGGTAAGTCCTTCTGTTGATTTTATACTTGAATTACTACAACTCTGCCTAACATTGAATTACTTAAAATTTGAGTCAGGCTACTATATAAAACTGACTGGCACTTTCATGGGGGCATCGATGTGCCCTATGTATGCCAAAGCCTTCATGTACAACTATGAGAGCAAAAACATTTTAAATTGATATAAAGCAGATATACTCAAATTCATGGCAGATATACTCAAATTCATGGAATTTATCAATGATATCCTCATCATTTGGACTTATAGTGAGGATGAACTATGCTATATGATACCAAATTTGAATATGTTAACTACTCCAGTGAAACTCACATACAAGTACAGTACCACCAGTATCAAATTTCTTGATCTTGAAATATTTGTCACAGGCAACCGTTTGGCCTACACACTCTACTCCAAGCCCACCAATAGAAATGCTATTCTACATAACTCGAGCTTCCACCCCAAGAAGCTTATAGAGTCTCTACCTATCTCTCACAATGATTCGGAACACTCTAAAGCAGAGGTACAAATACAAAAGATGTTTACCAAATTCCTGCAAAGAGGTTACTCTAAAGAAGTTTTGAGACAAACTCTCCAGCAGGCACAAACGGCCATCAAACCCAATCGATAATCGACTAATCTGCCCTGTATCATACCACACTCATTCCCATCAAATAACATCTACAATACAAGGGAATTGGTATATCCTTAGGAAAGACCCTTCATTACCACCCATCTTTTGTAATACGTGTAGTATACTGCATCACATTCCACATGTGGCTTTGTAAATATCGGAAAAGAGAAAGAATGCAAGGTCATCGCTTAGTGATACGTATCGCCCTGAACACCCGTTCTGCCAACACTCCAGTGGGACTGCATTTCTTGGAAGCTTTACACTCTTTACCGATGTTACGCATCTTGGGCATTGACCATGTCTTACTATCCCCTAGAGGTGGTGACAAAGATGCACAACTTTTGAAAAGGGAGGTATACTGGATTTATACCTTGTGGACACTAGCCCCAAACGGACTGAATGAGAAAAATCTTTTATATTGTTTCCTTCCTAGATGCTAATTGATTAGAACTAATTTCCATGTGAACCTTAGCTTGCCCACTGTATCTTATATATCTCTTGAAGAAATTTAACTCCATGTGTTTCATTTTTATTGCTATATTGTTTGCTACATAACATTTTTACACAATACTTGTATAATCTAGATTGCAATTAATTATGCCTGTTAATGTGAGATTACTCCTTCATTTTGTGACTGGAACTATTACTGAATTACCCCACTTTATTCTGTCGATCCAGTCTTCTTTTTATCTGGTCTCTACTTATATGTTATAGAGCTAATTGTTTATTTGTATAATTTTTTCTTACCTTCACTCACATGGTTACATTTGGTATGATGATGTCATCTTTGAAATCACCAGTCTTGCTCTCACCTGTTCACATTCCAATTATCTCACAGCTTGTGCATATACAGTGGCGTACTAAGGGGGGGCAGAGGGGGCGGTCTGCCCTGGGTGCCACCAGGGTGGGGGGTGCCTTGGGAGGGGGACCGCCAGGAGCGCTGGCCCCCCTCATGCTGCAGCTGCCCGAGCGCTCTGTAGAGAGCCTCAGGCGGCTGCAGCTTTGCCCGCCCGGGTGCAGCCTGAGGAGAGGGGCTGACAGGAGGGAAGCGCTCAGCGCTCAGCGCTCAGCGCTCCCTCCTGTCACTCCCTCACTGTAGCGTGGCCGAGCCCTGTATCATGGTCCGCGGGTACAGGGAGCATCTGTCTCCTGTACCTGGCCGGACTAACACTGAGTATGTGCTGCCTGTTAGTCCGGCCGGGTACAGGAAACAAAAGCTCCCTGTACCCGCGGACCATACAGGGCTCGGCCATGCTACAACAGTGTTAGGGGCGAGGAGGAAATTGGGAGGGAGAAAAGAAAGGGGGGAGAAAGAAAGCTTGGGGAGAAAGAAAAGCTTGGGAGAGAGGATAAAGAAAGAAATTGGGAGGGGATAAAGAAATAAATTGGGAGGGGGAAAAGAAAGAAATTGGGAGGGAGGAGAAATTGGTAGGAGGGGGGAGATAGAAAGATTGGGGGGAGAAAGAAAGATTGGGAGGGGGATAAAGAAAGAAATTGGGAGGGGGAGAAGGAAATTGGAGAGGGGGGATAAAGAAAGAAATTGGGAGGGGGAGGAGAAGGAAATCTAGTATATTATTCATGGCGCTAATCTCTTATTTACCTCACATTAAAGAAACACTATAGTCCCCAGAACCACTACAGCTTAATGTAGTGGTTCTGGTGTCTATCGCCTGTCCCTGCAGGCCTTTTAATGTAAACACGGTGGCACTGCAGCACTGGCGTTAGTTAACATGGCAAATCATATGGGTGGGGCATTGTGATGTCACATGGGGAGGGCGGAAAACTTTACTTTTGCCTAGGGCGGCAAAAATCCTTGCACCGGCCCTGGGTGGAGGGGGCTGTGTGAGCTGTGGCCGCATAGTGCCCCATGGTAGTTACGGTGTCGTGTGGCCAGTACAGCTCACACAAGCAAACAGCTGATAAACTGTCCGCACGGAGGAAAAGTGGGGCGGAGCTAAGCAAAATTGGGGCGGGGCCAAACTGGCACTGGGGGCAGGGCTTAATATGGCCCTTACCCTCTGCCATTAGGAGGTGCAGCAAGATGAAATATCTGCTTCTCAACAGGCTTCAGAGAAGGACTTCAGGGAATCCAGTCCTCCTCCATCCCACTATCTGTAAGTAAGAGTGTGTGTCTGTGTGTGTGTGTGTGTGTGTGTGTGTGAGACTGTCTGTGTGTAACTGTCTGTTTGTAACTGTGTGTGTGTCTGTGTGTAACTGTATGCCTGTAACTGTGTGTGTGCGTGTGACTGTCTGCCTGTAATTGTGTGTGACTGTCTGCCTGTAACTGAGTTTGTGACAGTCTGCCTGTAACTGAGTGTGTGACTGTCTGTCTGTAACTGAGTGTGTGACTGTCTGCCTGTAAATGTGTGTGTGGGGCTGCAGGGATTTTGTAGAAGGGGCATGGGTTTTGTATTTGGACAGGAGTCTTTATAAGGGGGGATAAGCAGGGGATTTGTGGAAGGGGGTTGCGGGGGTTTTGTAGACGGGGCAGTACAGGATTTGTAGAAGGGGCAAGACAGAGGTTTTATAGGAGGGGCTGACAGCGGGTTTGCAAAGTTTACAAATTGTAAAAAAAAAGAAAGAAAACCTTTAACATTTTTTACAGGTTTTTTTTTTTGGGGTGGGGGGGGGGGTGCCAAGCACAGGATCCGCCCCGGGAGCCAAATGCTGTAGGTACGCCCCTGTGCATATATAACCATTATCTGGCACTTAGCACTAGTCTTGAGATAAGTCCAGGAGGACTGAAACATTGATGTTTATTTGTGCTAAATAAAAGCATTACTTCTTTACTACTACAGTCTCCAGAGTGAACGCATCTTCTTTCCAATACTATGACTGGAGTTGGCACTGGAGCATCATTAACGACCGGGAACTAGAGTGCTGGGATCATGGAGATGATAAGAAGGTTTGTTTGTTTGGAAATAGTGCAAGCATGTGGTGTTGTAACCCTGTGAGATAAAGGTTGATCGTGTTGTAGGATAGATGTCATTTGAGGTGGCAAAAAGAAGTGAAAGCCACTAAAGATTCCATCATGAAAATATTTACCACATGGAATTCCCTAGTAAATCTCATGAAAATATTGAAAGCCCTTTTGTATGACCAGCTGGTGTTTTCTGACAAAGCACACTGTGACAGCATTCTGCCGTGAGCCAGGAGTTGGCCTAATTCAAGACGAGGTCGTGAAATTGAGGGGACAGAGTTGCCATCAGGAAGGCATTGAGGTGTAGTTGGAGGAATTCCTGAAAATGGAAACGGGACAAATGGTCAGCATCCGTGTTGTTGTGAATACCTGGAAAATGTGTACAACATATGAAGAATTGGTGAGTCGTCGCTAGCCGAATTACGCATCTAACGAAACTTATGATAGCAAGAGAAGGGAAGCGCCCTTTATTAATGATATGACAAGTCGCCTGTTTGCCAGAAAACAGTTTGTCCAGACCAGGAGCGACCCCAGGTCGCTGCCGTGGCCACAATAGGGTTTCAAATAATGCAGAGGTCAGATAATAGGCCAGAAGAAGCCATGGCATCTGACCTGAGCACTGGGGAATTGTCGGAAAAAGGAGGAATGTACATGGATTTCCCATTCCATTGACTTAGAAATTTCAGCCACATCTGCAAATCTGCTGTGGCCTGGCCATCAAGAGAAACCCTACTGTCCTCGGAGGGCAGACCAGTAATAAACAGAGAAGCCTAGAAATAAATTACCTGCCCTGAGGTATGATCCTCATTGCAAAATTCAACAAACACCACAATTACTGTAATTACTTATGACTACAGTGACCCAGATGCATATAATTATCAATACATGTTAGGATAAGTTCAATTTTGCCCCTTGGCAAGCTGGATTCCATAGCCACCGAGTCGAGTTGAATACCCAGGAAACTGACTATGGTGTCGGGACCCTATGTTTTGGAAGGAGAAATCAGGATGTCCAAATTTTTAAATAGTTGTAAGGCATCTTGTAGACTATGTGGTGGACTAGCATTACTCTCTATGGTGAGAAAATTGTCAAGATAGCGAAGTACTGATGAACATCTACATGAGTTAAGGAGTAACCAGCATAAGGCCTCGGAAAAAAGTTTCAAAAAATGTTTGGGCTACTTTTAGAACCAAATGTTAGCCTATTCAAAAAGTAATAATGGTTTCTCCACTTAATACCATGGAGATGTCATAATGAAGGGTGAATCAGGAGTAACTTAAAGGCATTGTCAAAGGGTGAGAAAAAGGCCTAGGATAAACCCTTGATTAAATTCATGTAGTAACATTGTATCAACAGAACCTGGGTCATTAATACCTGACTGTGATTTTTTTAATTCCAGAATTCCGGTCAGTAAGGCTAAAATACCAGTGTGGAACCCATCAGAAAACCCTGAAACCAAGAAATCCTCTAATTGCAGAGATGGGTGTGATGCTAACAGTTGAGAAAACTTAATAATCTTAACAGATGTAAAATACTGTTTGGAATGTAGTTTACTGGGGCACATTGTTTTTGAATGTGCTTGGAAACAAATTGTACGGATATGCAATAACCTACAGGCACTGAACCTACAAGTACCCACTTTAAAATTATTAAATATTTGGGATTTGGCAAGGAAAACAATTGGTCAGCCACGTTTATCCTTCATGACTTTTTCCGACCTGGCTGGTATATTTACATCTATATATACATGCATATATCCCCATTCCTTCCTTAAATAGTAAGAGAATTATGTCGTAATAAGTGATTTTGTGGTTTTTTACATACCCTTTCCCTCTTTTTTCCCATTTTCTTCTTCCCTTTCCTTCCTTCCTCTGCCTTTTTAAAATGTTTTAAATTTTTTTTATTTTTTATTTTTTTTTTAATTCTTTATTTTTGTTGTGCATTTTTTGTGATACATTGGTGTTTGCATTGCCATTATAGCAGCCACAAACGCAATAACAAATAACAAGAGACTGGTACATGGCAAGCGGTAGTACTGCACATTTTGTAGTAGTACGTAACAGGCTAATTAAACATTTCCAGATCATAAAGCAATTAATAGATATTTGTAGGCTAACAAGTTAGGATGGGTTATTCGGTAGAGCAATAATGAATGCGGTAACATCCTATACGTCTGTGAGAAGAGTATTCAAGTTATATTAAAAAATAAAAACATATAACAAACATGAAACGTGTGGCAGTAATAGTTGCAGCATCATCGTGTTAGTATGCAAGCGGTAACCCATACTACCTAGTTCTATAAGGGTAGGCTCCAGTCGGTTGCTGAATGCAATGTGCCTCTTAGGATGGGCTATCTTAAGAGCCCATAAAGGTAGGCTAATGCTAGGTTGGTTTGCTTGTATTGGGGTCCCATTATCAGGCACAGAGGTGAACCGTGGCAGGATACCCTAGAGGTCTGCCCGATGTCCTTATTGAACTTAAGAACAGGTTGAGATTCACAGCTAGTGTAGTAGGTATATGCCTGGGTATGTCCCATGTGTGGCGTTGTTTTGCCCTGATGGCTTGTGTGTTGCATGCTGCAGAGAGGGTGTGTACGCTCATGGACACTGAATTGGACAGAGCAAACTTGTGTGGAAATTGAAAGGACATAGTTAGTGACAGAGTTCGTTGTGGGGCCCTGGTGTGTATGTGTTGTGCATCCGTGGTATATTTGCTTGGGGAATCTAGAGTCGGGCCCAGCTTTAACTATGAGTGGGGGTTCTCCTTCACATGGTAGTTTCTTGATGGGGGGTGGGGGGGTGTGTGTCTCCCAGGATTCTTTTGTGTGGCCTGGAAGGGGTCATGTCTATCATACTGTAGTGGCTGCGCCCATGTTACTAGGTGTAGTTTACTCATCTAGTGGTGTGCACAAAAAGATATGCGGTAGTTTGTGTCCTTTGGGGTCAGTCCTGCAGTTAGGTTGTGGCTAGAGCGTATGAGTCCGGTGTAGATGTTCTTGGGACAAATGTGGGGGCCCCTACCGGGTTCCATGTGTGCCTTTTCCTGGGCTCCGTGCTCTGTTCTCCTTGGGTCAGTGCTGCAGCTGGGAGTCCCAATTTCTGGAGGAGAGTCTCGCTGTCATGTAGATCATGGATCGTGAGCGTCTTGTCTCCATGGGGGACTGATAGAGCTCGGGAGGGTCGCCACCTGTATTGAATGGTGTGTTGTCTCAAGAGAGTAGTAAGTGGACGGAAGGTGCGTCTCCATGCTAGGGTGTTCGCCGAGAGATCTGTGAAGAATGTCAAGACCATCCCTTCGAAATTATATGGGGTCTGCCCCTTCGTGGCGGTCAGCACTGCGGTTTTGCCATTTTGCAATTGGAGTATAACATCCCTGGAGGCAGTGGCTGGTGCTCTGGTTGGCCGGGGTACTCTGAACAGGTTTGTGAGTATTACTGTTTTGGCGGTTTTCGGCGTCAGCAGGGTTGAGAGTAGACGCCTCGCGAAGTGCGGCAATTCAGTTTCAGGTAGGTTGTCTGAGACTCCTCATATTTTAAGATTGTTTCGGCGCCTGGCATCTTCTTGGGCAGCAAAGCGGTGTTCATGATTTAGGTTCTGTTACTAGCACCTTGACTGCTTGCTGTAGTGATTCCATTTGCTGGGTGGCCTTGGTGGAGGTGAGTTCTAATTTGCTTATCCTGCCAGTTAAACCCTGCAGGTCTCCCCTGAGTGCTGTCATATCTGCAGAGATCTTCCTATGTAGGTCTGCCAGCAGGTCTTTTAGGAATGCAGTGGTGACGGGGCAGTATCTGCATCTGTACCTGTTTGTGAGGACGCTGTGTGGGGCTTTGGCTGTTGGATTGGAGCAGGGAAAGTGCTCTCTACCGGAGCACTCATCCCCGAGGGACGTCATTTTAGGTCCGCGTGCGTCTTGGGCCTGCCGCCACAAGTCCCCTATTGTCGCCCCAAACCTGGGCTTCTCTGGTTCCGTTTTTTAGTTTTCCACCCCATCGGGTCCGCGGGAGCTGTGGGAGCCCCGAGCACCCTGTTTTGACGGGATTCATAGTGAGGAACAGGCTTAGAAAGGCTTTGTTATCCGGAGCTCCGGAGATATGCGACCGCTCGCTGCTGCTGCTGCTAGGCTCCACCCCCTCCTTCCTCTGCCTTTTTAAACTTGTATAGTGTCTCTTGTGTACAAATCTAATTGTTCCAATGTGTTTATTAATTCCTCCTTTCTTCTACTTTAAAAGATTATGTGTTCAGTTTAACTATTTCTTTAAATATATGTGAGACCTACCAATATCTTGTGTTATCAGCCCTTTAATTGTTACAAGAATGTGAGCTACATTAAGTATATTTTATCAATCGTGGAATTTTTAAGTGTATATTATTGTTCATTTATCTCTTTAAAAAAAACATGTTTTTATTTATAGTCTCATCTAATTTTCAACAATAAAAAGCAAACAAGCAAACAAAAACTACTTTATTTACTATACCATTTTTATAATTTCATTATTTACTATTTTAGTAAGTAGAATACTACTAAAAAATGAATTGTTTAAATACTCTTTTAAAGTCCTTATTCTTTAGTGTGTAGATAGGAGGATTTAGTACTGGAATAAGTATAGCATATAGTAGAGCAAAGAACTTGTCCTGTCCTGGAGAATATGTGGATGTTGGCCTTATATACAAGCAGATTATAGATCCATAAAAGACAATAACGCAGGTCATGTGGGAGACACAGGTAGAAAAGGCTTTATGTCTTCCGGTTGCTGTTTGAATATTTAAGATAGTGGAAATAATAAACACATATGATATAAATGTAAAGATGAATGTACTCATAGCTATGAGAGTCCCAAAGATGTAAGTCCAAATCTCAATGATAAATGTGTCACTGCAAGAAAGCTTCAGCAATGGAGAAATATCACAGAAAAAATGGTCAATGTGGTGGGATGAACAATACGATAAATTAGCAATTAAGACAGTATGCATAACTGGTTCTAAAAAACCACCAATCCATACCGTAATAACAAGTTGAGAACATAGATTGGGACTCATAAGTAGACAATAATGAAGGGGGTGACATATTGCAACATAGCGATCATAAGCCATGGCAGCCAGAAGAAACAATTCCGTACAAGTAAAAGCCATGAAAAAATACATCTGGATCATGCACCCAAGAAAGGATATGGTCTTATGTTGTGTGAAAACCATGGCCAACAGTTTGGGTAGAATGGTTGAGGAGAAAGAGATATCAATGACTGATAGGTTACACAAGAAGATGTACATAGGTGTGTGTAAATGAGAGTACACAATTATAAATGAGAAAACAGTGAGATTAGTTAAAGAGATGATTAAGTAGAGAGATAAAAATGTTACGAAAAGAGGAAACTGAAGCTGAGGCAAGTCTGAAAAACCTTCCACTGAGAATTCAATTAGGTTGGTCTTATTTTCTGTAGTCATTTTCTCTGATTTGCATGGACAGGAAGACTCAACTTTGGGTTTAAAATTGAACTTTCATATCTGAACATTTGGGTTTAAAATTTAACTTTTCATATCTGAACATTGCCTACTCACAGTTGCTAATTTATTGTGTATTATTTGTAACAGATTAATTATAAAATGCACACTAAAAAAACATGAAGTATAAAATTTGCAAATTTGAAGACCTTCTATTTCTGATATTTGGTCTAGACTTCCCCTTGTTCAGTCATCACTGTTCAATATTTATTGAACTGTTAAAAACAATAAAAATAAAATTTTTATCTATTAATTAGAGACTGTTTACATCTTCATCTGTGTGTTTTTGCATGTTGCCTCATTTATTCACTCAGCATTCCTGCATGAAAAGAATGGAATTAGGTTGGAGAATAAATAAAACAACTATTTTTGTCTTGTTAGCGTTATCAAAACAAATACTGTATGCCAGGCTGCAACATAAACCTTTTTCACATGTATTTTTAAACACATTTTATATACAGACAGGAATGGAACCAGTATTCTAATTTGTTCTAACTTTGTTATTCAGTGCAGACAGATAAAGCCAGTCATTAATAAATGCAACATCCAAACTCCAGATAATGCCAGCTTCAACTATTACAATTGGCATTTAAACATTTTTGAAAAAGTATTAGATTCACTATTAAAAAAAACAAAAAACCCTGATATAGTCACAATAGAAGGGTAAATCTAAAGAGCTGATAATAATAACTAGTATTTATATATCACTTTTCTCCCAATAGGACTCAAAGTGCCTTTAAGCAAACACTCTTGGAATTAACCACATCTGCAGCTAATAGATGTTATTATTACCCAATTGATGGTACTCAGTTTATCGACCTCAAAGGATAAAGTTGACCCTGCCAGGATTTGAACCTGTGATCTTGCTTTGTAGTCAGGGAATTTACCAATTGAGAAACCTCCCTGGCTGGCAGTGATAGTATTGGTCTATGTCATGTACAGCATCTAAGTAATACTATTGAACTATCCTTACAACAAACATTAACAACTACACTACTTTAATGTTATTAACCATTACACTACCTTAACTTTACATTAACACTAACTGTAACATACAAATTATATATATATATATATATGTATATATATATATATATATATTGCAAAATATAGCACTCCAAGGACTTATCTAAAATTTAACTTTTGTTTACCTTCAATAAAAACACACAGTCAATGTTTCAGCTTGATCCCCTCAAGCTTTCATCAGGGGAACAAGCTGAAATGTTGACTGTGTGTTTTTATTGAAGGTAAATAAAAGTAAAATTTTAGATAAGTCCTTGGAGTGCTATCTTTTGCAATTTTTGTAATTTTGGCTGACAAGCACCGGGCATTACAGACATTTGTTATTGGTGGAGTGCAAGATTTTTTCATATATATATATATATATATATAAATACTAATTAGCTATCTTATACTTTATTTAGAGCATTATTTACTAAACAGCCAATTACGAAATAACAGAAAATTGTATTATATAGGGCAAAACAGCTAAGTAGAAATACAATTGGCCATGTTGTAATCTGTCGCCCTTTTAGTTACATTATCACTATGAACATTTGCTCATTTATTTCACACAGACATTCATTTCAAAACAACCTTTTTTGAAGAAATTTTGCCAAGTGTTGTACAACAAATATCAATATATAATGAGACAAAAGAAAAACAGTTGTATCTGAAGAAAATAGTCAGACTTACCACAGTTTTTGTTAAAATGCTTCTTCAAAACATCCAATGAAGAGTTGAAGACAGCATTTCTGCAAGCTTTATACCCTACCATAAAGCATTCTGCTCCTCTGTATGCAATTATGCAATGATCACAGTGTTTTTGCTTTCCATAGGGAAATGGGAGCTTTCAGTGTATTCATCTATTTATGGCATTTCAAAGGGGAACAATATTTCCTCATGCCAGCCATATCTATATTTATTAAATGTGTAATGTCTGGTATAAGCAGATTCTGAAGGGCTGAGGTCCATGTAGCCACTTCTGTCAAAGGAAATATTTACTGTGTTGTTTATTGTTTATGTTCTGCTTTCTAAGCATTGGAGGGTTGGCAAGGGGGGTAAAATAGCAATTTTTCCCCACTGCACTAACGTGAGATGGGTTTTAGGCTGCAGCTTCCCACCATTTTTCTGTAGATTAAAATAGCAAGAGGTGCATTGGGAGTGTCTGCTGCGTTGCCAGAGTATGGAAGGAATAAGGCAGTAGGAAGGATTTGTGCAGGGCCTTTGCTAGTCCAGCATGGTGTTGGTTTGTGCTTGGACTGGCCTGCAATGTCAATGTTTTCAGACATAATATTGCTGAATTAAATATTTCCTTGAAGCCGGCAGTATTTGGGGTTGACCAGGCTGCCAGTAAATAATGAGTAAATATATAATCTGGTGTGCCATGTGAGCCCAGACACACTATAATCCAGGGCACAATTGTCGCAATTACCCACAAAATGTAAGTTTAAATAGTCCACACTGTCCTTAAAATGCAGGGCTTAAAGAGCTACAATTACCACTACTACAATAGTGGTAATGGTGGAAGTAATCTGGGGCTATTCCCTAGGAATGGGGAACACATTTTATAAGGGTTTGTCCTCTTACCTGATCCCTGTCAAGTACCAAGTCTTTCCTCCAGCTAGCTTACTACATCCAACTTCTGCAGAGTTGCAGAAGCCGGATGTCGATTGAGCTTGTCATTCATTGGCTGACAGTGTCAACGGATCACTTTCCATTAATGAATGACATTCTATTTATAGATACATGAAATTCTCTAATTCCAGACTGGCTTATGACATGCCAATGATGCTGTCGCAGGTAGAGTTACTACAGAGTTTCTCTAAGCTTTTGTCCATTCTCAGAGTTCTCATACTCTTTGTTTTTGTTGCAATGCATTAACTTAGCTCTCCCCAAGTTTAAAGGGTAACCCAGGCTGCTGCACCTGGCAAATGATTCTGTAGTAATCTTCATATTCTGTATCCTGTAAAAAAAAAAAAAAAATATATATATATATATGGTTAAAACCCCCATTATTTTTGTCTAGATTAGGTGTTTTTAAAAAACTAAAAACAACTAATAAAATCTGTAAGCTTTGAAGTTGCTGTTTAGTGGATGAATGAGTGCATTGGAACTAATGTATTATATGAATTGGCCCTAGCAGCACCCCATTTATGCATGTTCGGGTGAGTGCAGCCCCTGGTTTTATAGCGACTGTAAATATAATTTGCTTATCACTAGTGATGTCGCGAACATGAAATTTTCGGTTCGCGAACCGTGAACGTCCGCAAATGTTCGCGAACCTGGCGAACCCGGCGAACCCGGCGAACCGCCATAGACTTCAATAGGCAGGTGAATTTTAAATCCCACAGTGACTCTTACTGGTTGAAGGGGGGGGGAGGGGGCAATAAAGATAATGAGGGGGGGACCTACTGTCCCCCCCAGCCCCCACCCCTGAGCGGTGAGTGGAGGCCCTAATAACAATAAGGGGGGGACCTATGGGGGCCCTAATAACAATAAGGGGGGGACCTATTGTCCCCCCCCACCCCCACCCCTGAGCGGCGGGTGGGGGCCATATTGATAATGAGGGGGGGACCTACTGCCCCTCGGCCCCCACCCCTGCGCGGCGGTTGGGGGCCATATTGATAATGAGGGGGGGGACCTACTGCCCCCCCTTGCCCCCACCCCTGCGCGGTGGGTGGGGGCCATATTGATAATGAGGGGGGGACCTACTGTCCACCCCCCCTCCGGCCCCAACCCCTCCGGCCCCCACCATCATAACCGTCGAACTAAAAAAAAAAAAAAAATCCCGAGCACAAAAAAAAAAAAAACCTGACGAAAAAGAAAAAACCCGAGCGCAAAAAAATAATACATCTTCCCCCATGGAGGGCTCCCACGCTGTGTAAAATGACACAGAGCACTGTGATTGGATGGATTTCAAGCCATCCAATCACAGTGCTCTGTGTCATTTTACATAGCGTGGGAAAGTTCTTTGGAATTTTCCCACGCTGTGTAAAATGACAAAGAGCACTCTGATTGGCTTAAACAAACCAATCAGAGTGTTCTTAGCCTAATTGCAGGGCGGGGCAAGGCTTTATAAGCCTTCCCCTGCCCTGCGGAGCTCAATCTGCGCGGAGCCCTCCATGGGTGAAGATGGCTTATTTTTTTGCGCTCGGGATTTTTTTTTTTTTTTTAGTTCGACGGTTATGATGTTTTTTTATTTGGCCTTTTTTGGGGCTGAAAAAATGAAGATTTGAGAAAAAAGAAGACGTTGAATGGTAAGTTTAATTTTATTTTACAGGTTAGTTATTTTATCCCCCCCCACTATTTTTTAGGGTGAGGGGGGTAGGTAGGGACTTTTTATTTGGGGGGGTGGGTGACTATGGGCTTGGGGACCCCTAGTCACCTTGGGGGGGGAAATTTACTTAGGGCCCCCACCCGCAGCCCAGGTGTGAGGGCCGGGGGGGGATGACAGTAGGTGTCCCCCCTCATTATCTTTATGGCCCCCACCCACCGCCCAGGGGTGGGGGCCGGAGGGGGGGTGGACAGTAGGTCCCCCCCTCATTATCAATATGACCCCCACCCGCCGTGCAGGGGTGTGGCCAGGGGGGCAGTAGGTCCCCCCCCTCATTATCAATATGGCCCCCACCCGCCGCGCAGGGGTGGGGGTGGGGGGGGGACAATAGGTCCCCCCTTATTGTTCATTTTAGGGCCCCCACCCACCGCTCAGGGAAAATCTGTGTATTGTGAATGCATTTGTATTGGAAACATTTTTCAATTCCATTTGTTTTCCATTTCTTGCCTAGAAAGTGAAACAAGATATACTTAAGACAGACCTATATAAATAATAACTTAGAAGCTATTTCACCTCTGCAACAAAAAAAAAAAAGACAACAGACAACAGACAATACTTTTCTTTGTGTGATTTCTATATTTTAATTTTTATTAAGAACTACAATGTTTTATCATATGTTAATTTCCACAAATTCCCAAATCTATTTGCAATAACATTCTCCTCACTCAGTGGTGCCTTATAACTGGATTTCACACAGTTTATCAGCATTATAAATCCTCATTTCTATTTAAAAATAGTTACAATTGAACTGCAAGCCAGCACCATGGGACTTTTGACACCATAACCACTATCAATGAGAGGAAGTATTTATGGTGCCTATAGTGGACCTTTTCAAGTTTATATTTTATTGGAGTAGTAAATAATCAACATTGGCAGCTTATTTATAAGGAAGGCTTATTGGAGCAATAACCATATGTAAAAGTCTGACTGATTTATGTTAATGTATATTGTTTGAAATTTATTTATACATATACATTATAACTTGATATATAGCACCACATATGTCAACCTTTATTATTCAATTCTTGTCACACTATTTGCTTACAGTTTAATTATATTATTTTACTGCTTTATTTTGTTTAAATTTTAGTAAAGCTACAAGGAGTATTATTGATGGCAGACATACCTTTTCTTGCACCATTGCACAGTGTAAAGTAAGGAAGGTTTATAGAAACCGAAATTAAGTATCCTGTGCTCTATGCCAAATCCCTATGCACATTTAAATAACTAAAACATTTTTAGTATCACTCCAATTATCATTTAAGTGTCAGCTTATCTGCCACGTGAAGGTAAAATCTTTTAAGTGAGCCCTACACTAACAATTATCCTTGCTGTTTCAGCAAAAAAAAAAAAATATAATAATTATAATGAGGCAGAAAGTTTTTTTTTTAATTAACCTCTAGAAACTTATTAACCCTTAACAGGGTACACATGAGGTGGGTGGAAGTAACAAGGCTGTGTAATACTGCAAACATTGCAGGGCTTTATTTTGTATATTTGTATTACACAGCCCTGTTAGAATGCTGCCACCCACCCCATGTTTACCCTATTAAACCTTAATTACTGTGTAGGGGGTTTATAAAAAAACACCTCTCTGTCTCTAAGATTTTTTTAGCTGAAATCAGCAAGGTGATTTTTTAGTGTAGGAATCTCTTAAAAGGTGAGCTTACACTTATTAGTGTATCACTATGGAGTGATACTTAAAAACCTTATTTAAATGTGCATAGGGATTTGGGATAGAGTGCCGTTAACTTTTTTTGGTTTCTGTTCTATGTATTTGGGCTAACGAATACTGTAGCCATTCCTGCTGCCCAGGAGTAGTAGGAATTTAAGTCCAGGGCTTCATTTTGTGTGTAAGGAAGGTTTGTAGCTTGAAAGATTTATTTAGTCTTTAGTTGGTTTTGGAATAAGCGCAACCTTTGTCACGAGCATTGTTCCATAAAAAGTAACATTGATTAAGTGAATGTCTCAACCAGAAAACACTGTAAGTTGACCACCTGTGAGTGAATATTTACAATATTAACAATGATAAACGTATGATACCAAAGTAAGTACAAACATTTCCAGCAACGAGGACATATAGCTCAGTGTTAAAGGTATCACTGCAGGAACATTTAAGTGATGGAGAGAAATATCACAGAAAAAGTGGTCAATGTTGTCAAATGACAAGGTGACAAATAAAAGTAAGAGTGAAACTAACACCTTTCCAAAAGCACTGCTTAATAAAGCAAACCCCTCTTTGATATGCCAATTAAGTGCACATGCATTCAACAAGCTGTTACTGGATATACAGTGGTTTAACATGTGTATCCTTGTGACGAGACCAATCTCGCCACTGTGCATTGGAGGAGCCTGGTTGCCCACCTGCTGCATTTAGACTATGGCCCCATGTTGAAACGCTTGATTTTCCCCTGCGAAGACACGAAAGCCAGGTCATTCGGTGCTGGCCCTGTTTGAGCAGTGATACCCCAGATAGCTACGCCATGGAGCCCATTCGTATAATGAAAGACTATGGGAAAGACTTTGGCTCCATGGCAATTGAACTGTATGTGTGTGCTCTGAGCACCATTCAGTAATAATGTGCGCTCAGATCTGAGCTATCTGGGGATATGTTGAATGTACCTGTTTTGAGCAATGGCTGCACAGTTTTATATTTTTATGTGTTTTATTGTCTTTTGCTGCCATGTGTTCAATGGAGTTTTGCCTCTGTCTTTGGAGATAATTGGATTACTTCCCAATTATCTCCAGGATAGAAGACTCTGTGGAACTGGTTTTGGGCAGAAAATCCATGCTTCATTGGTCACAAAGGACTTCGATCTATCTTTTGAACTAATGGACCAATTTGGATGATTTTGACATATGTTTGTATTTGGAGTATGCTGATTCGGAAAATGTAAGTGAATGTGATGCATACTTTTCAAGTTATGAATAATGTGGAAAAACTGTATTTCTCTGCCGGTGATAATTACATTACCCATTGTGTAAGGTAATTGTATCACAGGCAGAGGGGAGGATTTTGTGTGGGTGTGTCTGAGTGTATTGTATGTGTTTATTGGTTGTTTTCCAAAACCCTGTGGGTGGTACCAATGTGTATTTAAGAACAATAAACCCACAGCTCTGACTGTTCACTGCTTGACCCTCAAAACTGAGCCTTGTCTCAATCTTGGGGGGGGGGGGGTATTGTATGCTGTTCCAGTTTGACTGCTAGGAGTGTAAACCTATTCATATGGTTTCCTGTTCGGCGGATTGGTGTTCTGCAGTAGCTGTGCCTGTGTCTCTGGAAGGGAAGATCTCCTAAACGGCTTTTAACCCCTTTTATGCCTGGGGGTGCCGTTACAATCCTCACTCAAACATGGGTCCCAAGTAAATCCAGCAATCATACTCCAACAAAAACTGGTAACTCATGCTCCAAAGTATTGAAAATATAAAGGCATTTATTTTCCACTGAGGGGTTTAAGATTTAACAATAGAAAAACCAACAGACATAGCAAGCGCCATACATAAGCAGAAGTGAATTATGGATAATAACAGTCTGTGTGCTTTGTTATGCATAACTTTATAACTGTATTATTGTCTTTTTAAAGCTACACATAACAAAACATGCAAACTGCTGACAATGATGAATGGATAACAAAACTACAGAATTAAACAAATGAGCAAGCTGATAATGTAATTTGAAAAAAACATAAAAAGAATGACTAAGGAGAAAAAAAAGTTATAAATTAATTTGCATGTCAATGAGTGAAATTAGTATTTGACCCTTTCGACTTATTACTTGGTGGCAAAACCCTTGTTGGCAATCACAGAAGTCAGACATTTCTTGTAGTTGGCCACCAGGTTTGCACACATTTTAGGAGGGATTTTGTCTTACTCCTCTTTGCATATCCTTTCCAAGTAATTAAGGTTTCGAGGCTAACGTTTTTGACAGTTTGCTGTCTCCTGGATGCTCGGGTCCGGTATGTTGCTGACAGAGTGGATGGATTATTGGGAGGGGCTACAATAGTAGTGATGGATTGCACCTAAATGGGAGAGGGTCTGCAGTGCTGGGGGATAGGATGGCTAGAAGGTTGGAGGAGATTTTAAACTAGTAGTAGGAGGGGGGAGGGTCATAGCAATCTACAAAATGGAGATAGGACAGAAAGGAGATGGACTTTAGCACAGTATAAGGGGGGTGGAGACGGGGGGAGGGGCAAGCTCAGAACAGAGAAGCTATGTAATGTTGATAATTCACAAAATATACAAGTGACACATAATACTAAATGTATGCTTATTAATGCAAGGAGCCTAAATAACAAAATGAGGGAACTAGAGGCATTAGCATACACTAAACAATATGATATAACAGGCATAACTGAAACATGGTGGGATGAGACACATGACTGGGCAGTTAACTTAGATGGGTAGATGTTATTTAGGAAGGATAGGAAAAAACAAGAAGGGTGATGGGGTATGTTTGTAAGTCAACCATGATTTAACACCAAATCTTAAGCAAATGAAATGCGATGAGGAAAATGTGGAAGCTTCATGGGTAAATATCTGCTTGGGGGAAAAGAAGGGAAACCAACTATTGGTTGGGATATGTTATAAACCACCTAATGTTAATATTGACGAGGAACAACAGCTGTTTGAGCAAATTGAGAAAGCCGCAAATCTGGGTAACACTTTAATTACTGGAGATTTTATTTACCCGGACATAAATTGGGACAGAGGGACTAGTAGCTCAGCAAAGGGAATTAGGTTTTTAAACTTGTTAAATGACACCTTCATGTCACAACTTGTACAAGCACCAACTAGAATGGACGCGTCTGGACCTGGTTTTAACAAACAATGTTGATCTTTTGACCAACATTCAAGTAGGTGAGCACTTGGGAAATAGTGATCACAATATAGTGTCCTTTGAAATAAAGCATTTAACCCCTTGATGACTGAGCCAAATGTACATGTTGTGAACAAAACAAAACGTAAACAAAACCTGGCATTTGCGCTACATGTCTGTCCAACTGTAATTCACCTCTTTCATATTAAATGCATCCACCCTTATTATATATCATTTTATTCAGAGGAAACAGGGCATTCATTTAATATTAAATATTTAGCTATGAAACATAAAATATGAAAAAAAATGGGAGAAAATAAGATGTTTTTTAATTTCTTTAGTTCTACATGACATTTTAACTGTCAATGTCATAATACTGTTTGCTTTTACTGCAATAAAATACACATATTTGTATTCAGCAAAGTCTCACGTGTAAAACAGTACCCCCTATAAACAGGTTTTATGGCATTTTGGGAAGTTACAGGGTCAAATATAGCACATTACATTTGAAATTGAAATTTGCCAGATTGGTTACGTTGCCTTTGGGACTGTATAGTAGCCCAGGAATAAAATTTACACCCATAATGGCATACCATTTGCAATAGAAGACAACCCAAGGTATTGCAAATGGGGTATGTCCAGTATTTTTTAGAAGCCATTTGGTCACAAACACTGGCCAAAATTAGCGTTAGTATTTGT